TTATATATTATTATATATTATTTTAGATAATTCGCGAGAACTGGAATCTTAAGTACAGCGCCTGTTTTGTTTTGTGTCCGGTACGCGCCCCGCCGTTGGATGTGCCGCAATATGTCAGCGTTGTGTCCAGATTGCGGGCGCCGCCCGGCAATTTGATAACGTTGCGGAACACGGATCAGGATGCGGACTTCGCACCGCCGCCGAGCAACAGTAGTACTAATGGCAATAACAATGGCAATGGCAATGGCAATGGCAATGGCAATGGCAATGGCAATGGCAATGGCAATGGCAATGTGGGTACTCGGGGATCTCCGCCGCATGCACCGCCCAGCGGCGAGCAGATACCGGAGAGGATGGCGGTTTGTGTGAAACCGTTTCACTTTAGCTACGATCAGGCGCTGTATCTGATGGAGTATCTGGAGTTCTATGCACTGTTAGGCGTCTCGCACTTCACCTTCTACAATCATACGCTGGGCCCGCACGCCTCCTGTGTGCTCCGGAGCTACCAGCAGGGCCAGGTGCCGGGCAACCTGACGGCCTTCGACTGGGAGCCGCTGCAGCCGGCGGAGGCGGCCACCAATGCCACGCCGCGTGTCCTCAAGTCGCTGCACTACCAGCGGCCCACGGTCAGCATTCTGCCGTGGAATCTGCGCATGCGCTCCCAGAAGGAAATACGCACCGAGGGCCTCTTTGCGGCGCTCAACGATTGCCTCTACCGGACAATGTATCGCTACAAGTATCTGGCGCTGGTCGATCTGGACGAGTTCATCGTGCCGCGCTACACGGACACGCTCAACGACTTGTTGAGGTGAGGCTAAACTCGAAGTGGGAATACCCTAGATAAACTCTTTTATACACATCTTTTGGCAGCTCCCTCAATCAGCGGTTCCGGAATCGCAACACTGGGGCGTACTCCTTCCAGAATGCTTTCTACTATCTCCAGTTCGCAGACGATCCCCTGGCCAGCTCGGGCATTGCGGGCGGCAGTGATCAGCTGGGCAGTGTGCGCGCCTCCTTGGTAACGCAGCGCAAGACGCGCAGGTGAGTTCGCCACGCCTCTATTGAGAAGAAGGTGTCTCAGCCCCTGTCTTCATTCATTCATTCAACAGACGCTACAAGCTGCATCCACAGAAGCAGCGCTCCAAATATATTTGCAAGCCGGAGGCGGTGGTCGAGGCGGGCAATCACTTTGTCTGGGAGTTTTCGCCGGGCATGGGATCGCTCAATGTGCCGCCAAAGGAGGCTATATTGCAGCATTATAGGGTGAGTCAAGGTTTTCAATTCAAAAATTCAAATTATTTAGCTGAGATTAAGGAAATTTTCGAATAGAGGGAGACGTTTCGAGTCTCATAAAGTATTTATTTTCGAGTCCATATAGGAATGTATGTTCGGTCGTCTGTCTTCGTCTTAAAGAGGGAATTTCCCTAAATTCGTGATATTTACAATTTCTCTGTCCAGTAAATTTACTCGTATCTACAAAAAGGGAATTCCCCTAAATTTGACGCAATTTGACACAACAAAATATAAGGCCAAAAGGTTTTGCATCGTGCTAAATGGCTTGAAACAAATTTTTATTTTCAAACCGCGTGAAATCAAAACCGTGTAAAAACAGAATTAGGTGTATTTTAGTTTTTAAGATATAGAGCTCCTATAGATATCCTACCAGATATCGCCATTAGCTGGCTGAGATGTGACAAAGACAGGATGTGCCTGGATGATGGTCATCTGGTCATCTGAGTCTCTATCTTCCCTCCTCTTTATCAATTCTTTTTGCAGGTTTGCGAGTTTGGCGGCAACGATTGCATTAAGGCGCCCTCCATTTTGGATCGCACCACCACCAAGTACGTGAATCGCCTGGTGCAGCGCGTCGACGCCGTCTATCGGCATCTGCGTCAGCGCTGCGATCTGCCCGCGCTGCCGACGCTGCCCAGACGCTCGAATGGCCAAACGGAGCAGCAGCACAACGAGAAGCCGAAGTTACTGCAACAAATGCGTGAATTGAATGCACTGAAATCGAAGGAGCAGCTCAAGGAGCAGGTCAAGGCACAGACGAGTGCCACAACGAAGGCGGCGACAACGAGGCGCCCGCCCAATGGCAACGGGCAGGCACGGAAGCCGCTGGCTGCTAGCAGCACAGCGGAGACGACGGCCAGGACGACAACGCCGGAAGCCAAGCAAATGCAGCCGCCGGCGAATGTGCGAAAGAAACGCAAACTGATCGTCTTCGATCTGGACGAGATGGGCGCGCCGATAGCGCGCGTCGAATACCACTGAGGAGTGGGATGGAATGGATGGGATTGGTTGGAGTGTGGAGCAGCGAATAAAGCAGAGCTTGAACATTTTGAATAGGTTTTAGTATTTCGGTTGTGCATCCGAGCGATTGTTCCCATACATTTTGCTCAAGAGAGGAAAGCTGGCGAATCGTTCAACCATTCACAGAGTCCATCGAAAATAATGCAACGCTCATTGTTCTTAAATTTGGCGAGATATTTCATTTAATTGATAAGCTTAAATTTACGAACTAAATACGAAACATTGGTCTGTTGTTTTTGGTCATCCTAAGAATCTAAATATTCCTATGCAAAATTTGAAAAAATTCCTATTATTGAAGTCAAACTGTTTTAGGCTAAGTTTAGTGTAAAAGATACAAAATACAATCCCCAAGTACTGTTAGTTGTACGTATGCATTTTTAAATTATTATTATTAATTGCAAAATATTTGCCGTTTATTTCCCCAAGCTTTTTGAGCTAAGCACCAAAAAACTGATAGAACCTACACTTAGCTAGACCCTTGCTCGACTCGTATTTCGATCAAGTGACGGATATACTAATTAATTAAACAATAAACAGTAACGAATTTTTAAATGCTTCTAAGTATCGCACATATTTGTATAGTTTTTGCCTTCAACAGCAAACAGCAAACGTAAGAAGCGTCTACTAGATATATACAATAAAAAAAAAAATAAAATATATATACAAAGTATCTAGTAATAATGCTCAGTAGTTGTTAAGTAACAAGACACCCGATTATATGGGAATTGTCTTGAGAATTAAATTACAGTCAATAAAATTGTGTGCAAAATTAAGAAATTGCAGAGATTGCTTTTTAATGGAGACTTGGTTTGCTATTGCTTTTTTTATGGATACCCCTCATTTTTAGGGTAAATTATCCAATCATGAAACAATGTTTATTACAGTTTTATAGCATGCTAGTATATAAAGAGTTAATTCAACAACCTATTTGTATTGTAAAACATTTGTATAGCAAGTGTAAGCTTTTATCAACATGTTTAGCAAAGCTCTTAAAAATGCCTAGTATAACACATTTCGTATGCGCAAGCTGACTGTAGTACAAATGCAAGCAATTCAGTTGTAAGCTTGTATAACAAAAAGTACTAGCACACTTTGCTTGCGCATTATGACACTTTGTGGGCACAAATACAAACAAGTCAGTTGCAAGCTTGTATAACAAAAAGTCCTGGGCATTATTACACTTTGTGGTATACACAAACTGGTATACACAACAGCTTTCTATTAGAACAATTTTTGTTTAGTCAAAAATATTTTGCAAGCTTGTGTGTTGTACAGCCATAAAGACAATTATGATTTTATGGTTTACATTTCGGATAAGCGCTAGCGTAGGCAAATAGGCAGCTCAAAAAAGGGGAAATGAAAAAACTTAGAGAGCGGGGAAATTATAAGAGTTTATTATTTTCATATAAATACTGAATATATAAGAATGCGAATGTAGATTGTGCTCGACTAGGTGATACCACGTAAATATGTCTAAAGTCGTTTCGAGCTTTTAAAAAAATATCAAAGTTTACAAATATAAATTGGCAAATTGGGAGAATTTAATTTAAAATTTCAAGCATTCAGCTGGGATAAAACCTATAAGCTGTCAGATAGGCAGATAAATACAGGTCTGGTCGTTACATTTTCACTTATTTATAATACCGTAAATTACCTACTATGTAGTGTATATGTACAAAAAAAAAAATTGTTTAAATATAGTTTTGTAACAGATACAAATGCGTCAGATAACTGTACTCAAATATTTGTGGAGCTGCACAAAATGCAAATATTTAATCAGCTGTTAGGCAGTGTAATAAGTTTCAGTGACAGAAAACAATGAAAATCAATTAAACAATTGATTGTAACTCTACGTATACCCGTTTCTAGGTACAAAAACTGTATGACTGATAGTGCATTCACATTTAAAAAGCTGCAAGCAATTATGTGAATAGTCAATTTAAATAATAACACAAATCTGTTTTAAAATGCAGCTTTAATTTGTCGCCGAATTTGTATTAGCATTTCTGAACTCCTCAAAGTATATATTTTTGACTATTTCAAAATTGATTTTTGAAGCTGTCATTGAAATTATAGAGTATTGTGAAAGCTGTCTCGAAGGTAGAGTATTTTAAGTACTCATAATTAAGTCTTATATTTAATCTAATTTCAACTGAATTCAACTGTTCAAATTTCAAGCCAGAGTCCGAAAACACTTCTCATATTTTATTAGACTAATTCCAAATTTATTAAAATTTATTTATTAAATTTATATCAGATAAAGTCTGAACAACTTCGGAGCAACCAATAAATTTGCCAAGCTGCAGTCGAAGCAGACCAAGAGCTACCCGTTCCTCTCGCCGCCCGATTTGAAAGCCAGCAATTTTCAATATATAGCACACAAGGGATGAGGTAACGTGGAGGAGGAGGCCCTAAAAAGAGATGCCGGAAATGTAACAGGAAGCCAAATGACTTAATGCTCTGCGATTGCCATGGCAATGGTCGGACATGGACACGGCTAAGGTTCCGGTCGGGGAACAGCGATGCACTTAAGCAGGCCGCGCACGTGGTGCTTGGGTCAGCGAAAAATTGTGAATGGCGTCATAATTGCAATGGGCACCAAATTGGAAATGAATGCGTGCCACATGAGGCGAGTGAAACGCACAGGAAATTTGCGACGCTGCATTCATAGAGAGAAATCGACTGAGTTTTGCATTGAGTAAAGGCTTTTTATTGTGCTTAGTTTATTGACCCACCACCAGGATTACGCTAAAGTGCTTCGATTCAAGGAAGTGCATCAGTGCTTAAAGTTCGTCGGATTGTTTGTTAATTTTGCTTATGTCCAAGGCTATTCCCCGGACTGCGTTGTGTCGTCAGCGGGATCAGTTGAGCTATCAGCAGGATCGGTTGTGTCATCAGCGGGATTCGTTGTATCATCAGCAGGATTCGTTGTATCATCAGCTGCATTAGTTGAGCTATCAGCTGCATTAGTTGAGCTATCAGCTGCATCAGTTGAACTTTCAGCTGGATTAGTTGAACTTTCAGCTGCATTAGTTGAACTTTCAGCTGCATCAGTTGAGGTTTCAGCTGAATCAGTTGAGGTTTCAGCTGCATCAGTTGTGTCATCAGCTGCATCAGTTGTGTCATCAGCGGGATTCGTTGTGTCTTCAGCTGCATTAGTTGAGCTATCAGTTGCATCAGTTGAACTTTCAGCTGCATCTGTTGAGGCTTCAGCTGCATTAGTTGAACTTTCAGCTGCATCAGTTGAGGTTTCAGCTGCATTAGTTGAACTTTCAGCTGCATCAGTTGAGGTTTCAGCTGCATCAGTTGAACTTTCAGCTGCATTAGTTGAACTTTCAGCTGCATTAGTTGAGCTATCAGCTGCATCAGTTGTCTCATCAGCTGCATTAGTTGTGTCATCAGCGGGCTGCGTTGTTGATGCTTCGGTTGCGTTTTCGCTTGGGTTGTCCTCAATGATTCCATCCAGATCCTTCTCGCATTTCAGCTTGTCCTTGGCCAACTGCTTCAACAAGGAGGCAATATTTTTACTGGCGTGCACTCCGGCCTTGATCAGCTTTTGGCTCTGCCTCAGCAGTTTCTTCAGCTCATTTTGTGCATTGTTTAGCTTCCTAGTCAAACCCGCTGTGTTGGCTCGGCAGCGCAGGGCGCTGATGGGTCCATTTAGACACTGGTTCATTTCGTCGATGAGTGCCCTGGCGATTTGGGTGTACTTGTTTATTTTATCATTGACCTGCTTCTCAAACTGGCTCTTTCGGAGCTCGAAATTACGTAGGGTGCGGTGCAGATTCTGGGTATAGCGCTGGATTAGCAGGTTGATGATGCCGGTCGCCTGCGGCAGGCCAGCTCCGTCGGTTGCATTGTTAACACGTTCCAGCTGCTGTATTTTCCATGCCAACAAGTCGTCAATGGCTTCCTGGACCTGGTCGCTGAGTTCCTCGGCAAGCTTACTGTTCAGGTTGGAAAGTGCAGATTGTAGCTCGAAAGCCGTCGAATTGAGATTCTTTAGGGCTGCGAGGCCGTTGTCTAGTGCCTTTTTCTTGATGAGATTCTTTTCACCCTTGATCTTGCCCTCAAGATCCGTAATGTTGCCCTGCAGGTTTGTCGTCAGGTCAGCTAGGCCAGTGATCAATGCGTCGGAGATTGCACTCGACAAATCCTTTCCCAATTGCGTGATATCAGCCAAAAACGCGGCTTTCTTATCGTTGAGACCGTCAAGAATATCTTCGCCCAGTGCCGCGCCGTTTTGCGTTGCATTAAAGATGCCCTCGAGGAGACTCCTGCTTCTATCACCGAGTCTAGACAGTATATCTCCGAAGATGGAGGCTGCGTCTGATGCGCCGTCCGATTCCGCTGAGGATGCGCCATCGGATGCCGTTGGACTTGCGCTCGTTGTCGTGCTTGCGGGATTGTCTCTGATGATTCCCTCTAGTTCTTTTTCGAGCTTAAGCTTGTCTTTGGCCAACTGGCTTATAAGGGCGACTATGGAATCGCTGGCAAAGACACCTGCCTCGATTAACGCGTTGCCCTTCTTCAGCAGGATCTTGAGCTCGTTTCGCGCATCGCTCAGATTCTCGATCGCCTCCTCAATGCGAGACCTGCAACGAAGGACGCTTAAACCTCTGCAATTGTTCATCGCATCAATTAGATCCTTGGCGTAGCCGGCATATTCGCTGATTTTGTCGTTCAACTTCTGCTCCAACAGGGTCTTCACAACCTCCAGCTCCTCCACAAGGCTGATCAGACTCTGGACGTGGCGATCGACCAGCTGAGTAATCAGTTCGTTTGCTTGAGGCACACCGACTCCGTCGGTGGCGTTGTCCACGCGATCCAGTTGCTTCTCTGTCCAGCTCAGCAAATCGTTAAGTGTTTCGTTTAACTGGCTGTTCACTTTTTCACCGAGCCTCTGGCTTATGTTGGACACTCCGGAATGGAGCTCGTTAACCACCGAACTGAGATCTTCTAGTGCGGCTATTCCATTTTTCAGAGCCCCTCTCTTGATGAGATTCTTTTCGGCATCGATCTCTGCCTTGAAGGCAGTAATATTGCCAGCCAAGTCTTGCGATAGGTCCTTAAGGCCTGTCGACAACGCCTCAGAGACGGCATTCGACAGATCCTCCCCCAACTGGCTGACATCGTCCAAAAACTTGTCGTTGGTAATCTTCAGGTTGTCCAGCAGATTCTTGCCAATGGCAGCGCCGTCATTGGTGGCTTCCCGAAGTCCTTCGATGATGCTGTTGCCGCCATCCTTCAGATCGTCCCATACATCCTCAAAGATCGCGGAGCTGGGCTTGGCCCAGATGCCGCCAGCGCCTAGGCACAGCGTGAGCACTAGCAGAGTTCCCTTCATCGACTGCATCTCGTTAGCTGAGCTTCCAGTGCATCCTCGGCGCTGCAATTGCCGCGGCTTTTATATCGAGCGCAGGCCAGCGCAGTGCAAATAAGTGTGTAATTTTACTGTCAAATATTTAAGCAGCTGAAACACTCGTCGCGGCTATTTGTCCACCTTTGTTCGGCTTGTAATGGAAATTAAGGGGGTGAGGGAGGGAGGGGGGGGGCGAGGGGTCCAGTTGCATGCACATCGCACATGCGGGCAAATGTCGCATCAAATAAAAAACAAAGTTGCGCATTTATGTGATAAATCTGTCGAGTTTACCGAAATTGACAATCTACGCGTAGTTAGGGACTTGTTCTCAGTAGATCCTACAGAGTATCCGACAACGAAATACTCTGTTCGGCTACAAAAATATCAGAAAGAATGTTCTTGACTGCAAGTTAAAATAAAAAGGAGTTTATTGGTTTTGTGCGATGGCTATCCCTCCGTTCATATTAATGGAATATTTTTCAGCGCTTTTGAAGTGAGATACTTCCAAGTCAGATTAAATGTTACGATTATATGGCTAAGACCAACTTATCACGACAATTAACGACTTCATCAGTTTAAGAGCACGCTTAAGATATGGAAATCGGGAAATTCGATGTATAATATTATTATTAAAATTTTATTATGTATATTAAAATTAAGACGTAGTCGCTGACACGAGACTGAAATATTATTAGCTGCTACTGAGTGTATATAATAGCTAGGATATCTGATAGTCGGTCACTTTCGAAGTTTGTGAAACCAATTGACAAATTTCTAATTAATAATCAATTCAAATCAGTTCATGCACGTAACCTTCAATAAGTGCAGCAATAAAGCCCCGCTCACCTACTGCGAGGGTATTTTTTTCATACAACGATCAAAAGACAAATAAAACAAAAGATTTTAGTGCTTATTATATTTGATAGGTCGTCGTATCATGACAAAGTTTATAATTTGTGCTGCCCGAATTGATTTAATTTGGCCAATTTGCGTATGAACAAAATGCGGGTCGGGCCTCTAATGTGAAAGACAAAGACGAACTTTGGCCAGGGGGTGGCCCCTTTTATGTCAGGGGCTTGTTTTGTGCATAAATAACTACGCATTCGAGAAATCGTAAAGGCCAATAACAGCTTTAAAGAGGTTTCCAATTTATTAGGATAAGTTCTTAGTTCTTAAGAGGAGCCTTCTAAGATTTTGATCATAGTATTTAATCTGATTCGCGTATGCACGACTATGACTCGCAAAAGGAAGGAAAGGAAAATCAATATACTCCTATTACTTCGCTTCACGTTGTTTCCGGATTTAACTAGTACATAGTAGAATATTGTATCTGGTCTGCATTTATCGAGAGGTCGCTTGTCGCATTTCAAGGTAGCCGTGGGCAACATGTCGCATATGCATTTTATAAGTCCTCTGTTTGTTTTGTTTAATTATGCTGTCATTAAGCTTGTCACACACACACACACAGAGACACAGACACACACACTGGGATAACATAGCAGTACATAGGAATACATGGCAAGGCAAGGACAAATGTAAAACAAAAGCTTACATGTCTAAACGCAATTATCGCCGAGAGCCGAACAAAGGGCCACAAAAGGCATTAGACAATGGGGAACGATGCTCACGGACAGTACCTATATACTCTTAATGTGGCTGGATTGCTGGGTATGTTGTGTGGGCGCGATATGCTGTCTGTGTCTGGGTGTCCTTGCGTCCCCTCGCGCCTGCGACAAGTCGCGTGGTCTGTTGTCCACTCTCGGCCAGACATTTCCATTTAATTTGCATTTTCCACTAATTGGCTTGCATACGCTACATTCTCGCTTCGGTTAATTAATTTAATTAGAAATATGTTTTGGCTCAAAGAAATGCACAACTGTTTCTCTCTCTCTCTCTCTCTCTCTTTCTGTGTGAGCTTGTGTGTGTGTGTTTAACTGTAGGCGACATTGACCAAACCTTTGATAAATAGAAGGGTATTTGGCGGCTTATCCTTTGACACTGCATTTAATGCCAAAGTATTCGCTTTTAACGGCGATAATTGCGTGCACTCGCTTTTGGGCTTCATACTCCTAATTATTATTATACATAGTTCCTAAAACTAAATTCAGGAATCTACTCGAAGGAATCTACTTATAAAGCGTGGGAGTTCTGTATAAAATCAAATTACAAATTAAGCAATATACTTTTCAAGAAGCTACATGGCAAACTTGGTGACTTCAGCTCATAACCTAGAAGATTTGCTCCAGAAAGGGGAATTAATTAGCGATTTTTATTAATTACTTAAAAGCGGGACAAGTTTTCAACGATTTTAAACAAACCCTTACTGCGAGGGCATCTTTAGCTCTTAGAAATTCTGAGATTCAGCAGGAGATACCCTTACCCTTATAGCCTTATACCCTTATACTCTTATACCCCTTATACTTTTTAACTCTTATACCCTTATACCATTAAAGCATTTTTACCTTTTACCCAATTTAAATAGTTTCATTCATAAGACTTTGATTTTGATTTTTAATAATTTCGTATTTCAATTCACATTTGTGTCGCTAAAAATATTAACTTAACCATTTTGCGTGCTATAACTCTAAATGCAGTTTTTTTTGTTGTAAAAATTGTTGCTGGAAGAGAAATATGCTTGACAAATGAAAAATTAATTAGCTCATCATTTGGTCATCAGAGGAGCAAATCTAACTGCAACATTTTGTGGACTGAACAGACGAATAGGTAGAAGACCTTGAGTATAAAGGGTTGAAGGTTGCAGCAATTCGATAATTAAGATTATGTTAAACGTTAAATCGAAATGATTTAAGCTATATTACAGTATATTTATTAAGTATATTTTTTCTTATCACGGAAGTTACTTTCGATTTTGTTTATGGGGAACCTTTTTGTGGCTCCTTTAGCTGCATTGCCAAACGCAGCGAACATGTGAGTCGTGGCTCCTTGCCACTTTGGCCAAGCTATGAATCCATGGTCCTCTGTAAATGAGGTTTGGCCATGCTTTTATGTATTTTTTGCTGACCTCAGTCCTCGGAATGAATGGCCAGCCATTGAGTCTGGAGCCTGGAGCCAGGAGCCTGCACGGTGATGCTGCCATGGCATGGCAATCGCGGCCATTAAGTCATTTTGTTTCCTGTAACATTTCCGGTATCTTTTTAGTCAGCCCCTGGCCTGAGTGGTGCTGCTGGTCTGCTCCAATGAGCTGGTCTGCAGGTCTGTAAATGCTTTTAAAGTAGGTGGCTGCTTGTTCAATTTATTGCTTCGCCAAATGTATTGTTGTTGTCCTCACAGCCGTGGCCAGCCAAATGCAGCTGCCTTTCAAATTGCACCACATAAAGTGTTGCCCGAAATCAACTTGCCCTTTTTTATGCTCAGCACAGATAAAATTGTGTAAAAACTTAACATTAATGATATGCCTCGCTGCTTAAATGCTGCAAATGAATGGCACAGCAGATAGCACATCTTTTCTATACATATTATTTGTGTTTTTGATTTTCAATTCAATGGGAAAAAAATTCCCAATTCAAAAAAAAAAATAGAGTTTCTAATTTAATAAGCTCCTCAAAAGAACTTCTCGCGTTCTCCCTCTCTCTTTCTATCTTTTTCGTCTTTCAAATTTAATCGTTTGACTCGTACGTCAAAACTTAACAGAATCGAAGCATTAAATTCTGTAAGTTCAACTTGAATCTATGAGAATCTCATAGTAAGGCGACATTAGAAGTAAACATATTGCTGAAGCCGTAAGCCCTTCGTCTCCAATGTTATTTCAAGAACATTCTGATTGTATAATAAGCAGAGTTTATAAACTCTTTGATAATTAGAGCGATGTCAGGTAATAAGAAACTGTGTAAGGGTGAGACCCTTGCTGTCATCATCACAGAAAGGCGCCTCCAAAGGATGCACACCTGCGACTTACCAACGAGGGGAATCATCTATGTCCCCTACAGTATTAGGCTTTGTCCTCATTTCTCAACATTATGAATACCCCTCAATATAAATACCATTCAAGCTACAAAACATTGTAACTAAGCCCTTCTTTCACAGTCTTTCGCTTGGTAGAGATCGAAAAGTACAACTTGATTCCAGCGCATTATAAAACAAATTAATTTGATTTATCATAAAATATTTGTACAAATTTTTTATTAACAGCATTTAAAGCTACATGTTTTTATGAAGGAACCCTTTTTACTGTTTTTCTTTTCTGCTGTGCGCACAGTCACTCTTAAAAGTTTACTTCAATCGACACCTTTCCATATTTCCAAAAAGTTCGCCTTGAGAAATTTTGTACTTGGCTGAGTAGTTTGCTCACTTGAAAACTTTGAATATGACATTCTAAATAGATGCATATGCGCATAACTTGATCAAGAGGGAACCGAATAAACATCTCAATACAACCTATTTTATATACAAGCATTCATTTGGATGTGACCAGAAAATCAGAGCGGGATGCCGTCCAACTCCCATCTGACAGTTGCCTTTGCGCACACTCAATCACTTAAACTCAGACCTGGGCTGCATACGCATAACAGTCCAATGCCCACAAGTCTTCAGAAATTTTGTTTATCTTTTTTCCTTTTTTATTTTTGAGAGAGACACAGAGAAAGAGAGAGAGAGAGAGAGAGAGGGGGGGAGAGAGCTGCCATAAACACTAATTTAAAAGCCTTCGTAAAAGTCAGAGCGGAATGCGTGCACAGATTGCTGTGGAATGTTTTCATACACCTTTGTCTAAGTGAATTCAGCCAACAGTTAAAATATGTGTGCATTATTTTGCATATGCCGGAAGGCAAGCCAGAACTCAAGCCCAAGCCAAAATCCAAATCTAAAACCTATGCGAGGCAGCAGCAGTAGCAGCAAGAGCAAGCGTTGCTCATACGCCGCGTTGGACGAGGCGAATGCATTCGGTGGCCCCTTGGCGCACATGAGGCAGATTTAGTGAGCCAGGTTTTTATCTTGTCGCGCTGCTCTGGGCTGCTGTGTTGGTCGCTCTGGGGATCAAGCAGCAGCAGCAGCAGCAGGTACGAGTGGCAGCGG